CGGAGCTGTCCTGATGTGACCCTGCAGCGCAGCCCTTCGCATCCCCGAACCTGCCCGGCTCGGCTTTGCGGCAGCTGCCGCCTCGGCGTGGCCTCGCTAATTGATTCAGGAGGRATTTGCCGGCCCGGACACACGCGGGGAACGAGGGAATGTGACCTGGAGGGGCGGGCAGGGCCGGCTCGGGGATGTCACCGAGCCCCTGGTTCGCTGCGTTATTGACACACGGCTGGGACAGCGTCGGGATTGACATCGGGGGCGCAGGGACACGCACCGGGCSGGGCACTGCTGGGACACATCGGCAGCCCCCTCATCACCCCTGCGTTYACACCCCGGGCCCCACAGGGGTGTGGTGGCACCAGAAGGGGCAGCTTCTGCTTTTGGGATTCATGGTGTGGTTTTGTACATAACCACAGGAATGGGGAGGATTCCCCCGGAAGCGAAGCTGCAGCCACAGGGAATCCGGTGCGGTCCCACTGCCCGATCCTTCCCAAGGTGGGGGAATTGGGATTTCCCCAGTTCTCCAGCCAAAATGCTTTGAGCCCTTTCGAAGCTGGGAACTGAAATTTTTCAAGACAYGAAAAACTTTTGGCTGATGTAGATATTTATTTCTCTGCATCAGGAGGTGGGAAGTGATGAATTCAGCACAAATTTGCTACATTCAGTAACTTCCATCTGCAAATCCGAAGCCGGGCTCGTTGCTGGCACGTTGCAGCATGTCCATCCATCCCGACTCTCCAGGTGTCTGGATGCTGGACAGACAGCTGGGTAGGTGCTGCCAGCCCAAGACAGACATGTGAACGCCCTCACCTGGCTGGGGATATCCCGAAATCCTGTCAGTCACGGGCTTGGCTGCTCTCCATGGCTGGCAGTGCCTGGGGCGTCTCGCTCAGTGCTTTACCAGGAGGGAAACTGAGGCCGCTTCCCTGCTCTCAGYGTCCCAGGGCCAGGTTGCTTGGGCTCTCCGTGCTCCAGAGAAGGGATCCAGCTGGCCTGTGTGAGAGGAYGGGGACAGCGGGGAGATGGCGTGGCCTTGCTGGGCAGGAGGGACATGGGAATGTCACCGGACTTGTCCTTCTGTGGTCGGGTCAGGCCTTCCCAAGGAACCAGAAAATCCAGSCCTGGCTCCGTTTTGGGGCTCAGGTGGGTGATGCTGGGGAGCAGCTGAACCCCAGGCTGCTGCACCAAGCACTGGAGGAGGGGAGGGGACCAGTCCATAGMTCSTCYTCTGTTTTTCCCTGTGGCTGGCAAYGACTGGGAAGGAGAGCAAATATTTATGTGTTTGCTAAAAATTCTTTCGGGGGTGGGGGGATTGTGTGCAGCAAACAGGGTCAGGCCGGGATGGGGCAACTTTTGGGAGAGGGGATATACGAGGGGGGTTTAGGAGMACCTGCCCACCTTGGGAGAGGAATGCAGGCTTGGCCCCTGGCTCTGAGCATCTTCCCAGCAGCTGCTGTAGGAAAGAGCTGAGGCTACAGGCGGTGAGGGGGCGAGGGCTGTGTGAATACCCAGGGGGCTCGGCAGGGTCAGAGCCTTCCCCCAAATACCACCGGGATTTGGCTGGAGGCCAGCGGGGCTGACTTCACCCTGCTGAAATGTATCATTACAGCCAGGCAGGGAATGTGCTGTGGGGTTTTAGGGGAGCCTGGTGTGGGGTGGAGCRTGCCGAGCACACAGAACCTGGTTTCCTGCAGGATGAGGTCTCCCCTGCCCCCTGCAATGCTCCGTGGTTTGGTGACACACTGAAGGGACTCACTGTGGGTGCTGGGGAGCGGATTTGCACCAGCTCCTGCCCCAGAGCTGCACTGGGCAGGCAAGGGACACGGCCTGGGGCATCCCCCCGTGTGCGGGGCGGCTCTCGCAGCCCTCCTCTGTAGGAAACCAGCCCTGTTCCAAAGCRTCTCTCCAAAGAAAATCACTTTTGGCAGCCCTTAGGCAATGGCAGGTCTCCGCTGACTGCTCCCGTGCTGGCATCTGTCATGGCTGTCACCGTCCTCTCCTGCCGTCACCGTGTGTGTCCCCGACAGCAAAAATCCACCTCCTGTGCAGCAGCTGGGGACAGCCCAGTTGGGCAGCTTTGGCCTTTCCTTTGCAAAGCMGCCGTTCCCCAGCCTGCTTGTTTGAGATTTGGGCTTTGGAGAGATCCCTGYCCCCCCAGAAAGGGGACAGCAGTGACCCATGGAATCAGCCCGGGGCGATGGGATGCCCCAGCTCGGCTGGCAGAGGGAGGCTGTGACCCGGGGGCGGTGGGTGCTGGGGGTGCCCGCAGCCGGACAATGCCACGCACGGTGCCCGGCCTGCGGCCGGGGGGGGGTGAGCAAAGGGGGGGTGCCCCCACAGCTGCGGCACGGGGTGAAACCCCCCGGGGCTGGTTTCGCTGCCCCCAGTGTCCCCGTGGCAGGAGGGACACCTCGGGGACATTGGCAGGGAGCGGGTATCGGTCCCAGGGGGCCGCCAGCAGCGGGCAGTGCCAGTGTCCCGGTGGCAGAAGGGACACCTCGGGGACACTGGCAGGGAGCGGGTATCGGTCCCAGGGGGCCGCCAGCAGCGGGCAGTGCCAATGTCCCCGTGGCAGAAGGGACACCTCGGGGACACTGGCGGGGAGCGGGTATCGGTCCCAAGGGGCCGCCAGCAGCGGGCAGTGCGAATGTCCCGGTGGCAGAAGGGACACCTCGGGGACACTGACAGGGAGCGGGTATCGGTCCCAGGGGGCCGCCAGCAGCGGGCAGCTCCAGCAGCAGAGGGCAGCAGGCTCCGGGCTCCCGCAGCACCGAGGGGTGGCCCCGGCGGGGCCGGACGGGGCGGGGGGCTCCGGCGGCGGGGGCGGCCCCGGGACCGCGCCCCATTAAAGGGCGGCACCGGCGGGGCTGCGGAGGTAAAACGGGCTGGGGCAGGACGGTTCCGGGCGCTGGGACGTGCTCTCCGTTCAGGTGAGTTGGGCTCCGTCCCTCCCCGCTCTGGGGACCCCCGGTGTCCCCCCGTGTCCCCTGGAGGGGCGCTGGGCTGGCGGGACGGAGGAGTTGCGCTGGCTGGGGGCTCCCCGGTAACCTCGCTACTCTCCCCAGGTGCAAAAATGGGGTTCTTCACGTTTATCAAGGTCATGATGATCCTCTTCAACCTGGCCATCTTCGTAAGTGCGCCCCGGGAGTTGGGGTGTGCGGGAGGGGTCCCGGGGAGCTCCYGGAGCCGGGTGTGGCCGGGCTCTTCTGCCCCACCGTGCTCCTTGCTGCGGGCCATGGGGTGGACAGCGCGGGCAGGTGGGACTGGCAGAGCTCCGAGGGCTGTGCCGTGCTCTGGGGACAGGGACTGTTGCATCAGCTGCGCCTGTCCCTCGCTGCGCTGGAGCTTGGGAAGGGGTGCTGAGTCCCCAGAAAAGGGGGTTTGCTGGTCCCTGCCTGGGGGCTCTGTTTTTGTAGGGGAGCAGCCCATGTGTGTGACTGTGACCTGTGGGGTTGGGGTTCCTGGATGTCGGGAATTCAGGGCACACACTGGCTCTAAGGAGAGTGGAGCTCCYGAGAGCTGCCCTGGCTCTGCAGGAGCCCCGGGGAAGGAGGGGGTGCAGAGCCTCCGGCTCGCTCTGGTGAAACACTGGCTCTGTGCAGCTCCTGGCAGGATTGGAGCATGGCAGGGAAGGCTGAGTGGCAGAGGGGAGGGCTGGGACACACTGTGGGCWGCCCAGAGTTCACCTTGTCCAGGAGCACCTGACCTGTGGGGCCAGGGACTGCTCAGATTCTCCTCTGGGTGGGTGGGCAGTGGATGGAGGCAGTGATGGTGTCAGTGTCCGAACTGGCCGGGTGGGGCCCTCAGGGCTCATGGGGGGCTGGTGGCACTGCTGGATTGGCTGGTCCCCTGCTGGCACTGAAACCCTTGGGCTGGGAGGGGGGCAGCTGTGACACYGCCCAGGGGATGTGCTGGTGGTGGGGTGTGTTTCGGGGTACTGACCCCTCTGGCAGTGCCCTGAGCTGCCTGCAGTGACACAAAGTCTTGCTTTGGTGGAAAACTGCCGAGGGGAGAAGCACCTGTGCCAGGGTCTTCCCCGAAAATCYGATCTCGTGCCTGTCTGGGAGCTGACATTGCCTTTCTCCTCCCAGCTCGGTGGCGGGACCCTCCTGGGAGTTGGCATCTGGGTCAAAGTGGATGGAGAGTCGTTCCTGAGTGTATTTGGGGCGCTCTCCTCCAGCGTCCTGCAGGTTGTGAATGTGAGCTATCTTCTCATYGTCATCGGTGCCATCCTGCTGGTGATCGGCTTCCTCGGCTGCTACGGCGCCCAGAAGGAGAGCAAATGTCTCCTGATGATGGTATGGGCCCGACTGAGCTGCTCCTGAAGCCTCATTTGAGCTGAGTCTGGGGTGGGGRAGACCTCATGGGTGGGTTTCTCTGTGGAGAGGCACTCTGTGGATGTTCCCATGCGGTGGCACTCTGGGTGGCCCTTGGGAAGGCAGTGCTGGACTCAATCAGCCCCAGAAAGGTGAGAGGAGACAGGAGGAAATGCTGAGGTCTCTCTTGTAGAGTATCCAGAGGGCTCAGCCTTATGCAGGTGGGGGCTGCAGGACCCCAAGGCTGTGCTGYTCGTGCCTGGGAGCAGAGCTGAAGGCAGTGAGGTTGGAGGGCTGGGGTCCTGGGGAGCAGACGAGTTCCTGGGTTCTGGCTGTCAGTCTCACCTCCCTGCCTTGCTGTGCCCTAGTTCTTCTCAGTGGTGCTGATCATCTTCATCGCCGAAGTTGCTGCTGCCGTGGTGGCTCTGGTCTTCACAGGTCTTGTGAGTGGAATACCTGAACCTTGGGCTGGGCTGATCTGGGACCTGTCCCACMCCTTGGGAAAACAGGAGACACGGGCTGGCCCTTGGGTGGGGAAGMTGTGCAGTGGTCAGTGCTGCAGGAGGAAGGGATGCTGGTCACTGCTGGCACTGCATGGGCCAGCTGGGCTGAGGGTGGTGCAAACAGGTGTTATTTCATATTCCTAATTTTTTTAGGGCAAGTTTTTCCCCACTTCTTTCTGTCAAGCCCCTCAGTACATAACCAGCTCAAGCTTGACACCTCCCCACCTCTGAGGGCAGGAGCCTCTGGGGGAGGAAGTCCCTGTGGCCTCATGCTGAGCAAACTCACCCCCTTATTAGGCACCTGAGAAACCACCTGGGGAGAAAGGTGACTGCCTCATTAGGCACTGGAGGAGTCCACCTCAGGGTAAACGTCATTCCTGGCTCCCTCGCTCAACACTGCTTATCAGATGACTCACTGGTCACAAGTGACCTTGTGCCATAAAGCACTGGTCAGTGGGGCAGCAGACAAACTCTGTGGGTCAAATGGACATGGTGTGACTTCTGGCCACGCAGGGTCTTCTTGGTCTCCACTCCATAGGCTGAGACAGYGTGGGGGTGCTCAGCTCTGTGGTGCTCCCCAGGACCTTCTCTGATGGTGTTCTGCCCTTTCTTCCAGGCAGAGACGTTGCTGACAGGTCTGGTGACCCCTCTCCTGAAGGAGAAGTATGGACAGGATCTGCAGTTCACACACATCTGGAATGTCACCATGACAGAGGTGTGCTGAGCCCTGGGGCCCTCAAGGGTGGGTCGGGATCCTCCCAACACGGGCGGGTGGGACAGAGAGATGGGACTGGGGACACATCTCAGTCCTGGATGTGCTGAGCCGTCACCCCCTCCTCGACTCCCCATGTGCTTGGGAACCGCCCCCATGGGACCTCGCGGGGTGAGAGCTGTGTGAGGGTGTGTGGGGCACAATCCTGGTCCCAGGGTGACCCCTGAGCAGCCCACCCAAGTGGGGTTGAGCTGGGTGTCACCTTCCATGAGCCAGTGGGGTCCAGATGGCTTCAGAGCCTGGAGGGAGAYCTGAAGGATGCTCTTCCCATCCCTTCCTCTCTCTCCCTTTTAGGTCCACTGCTGTGGCCTGAATAACTACACTGACTTCAACAACTCCCACTGGTTTGAGACACACGGCAGCTACCCCATGCAGTGCTGTGACATGCTGGAGCCCTGCAACAGCACACTGGCTGCGAAGATGGAGGTCCCGGTACGGATGAGCAGTGGCTCCTGCCCTCTGGCAGGGCCTGACTTGGGGTGGGCATGGAGAGGGAAGTGTCTCCTGTAGCTCCAGCCCCAGCTCTGGTGGTCCCAGGGGCTTTAAGTTCCAGGGAATGCTGTGGTGGCCTTGGCTTGTCCCTGGTGCAGACAAGTGGAGCTGTCACACTGCTCTGGTCTCAGGGGAATGGAGTGGCATGCCTGGTGCTGGGCACCACCCCAGRCACCATTCTGCCTTTTTGGGTGATTTCTCTGTTTCTTCCATTCCTGTCCTCCCTCCCCACCCGATTTTTGACGTGACAAGTGGCTGAGCTGCCCCCTGAAGCCCCCAGAYCTTCTCAGGCTGTGTGCTCTGGGTTGCAGAAGCGGTGCCTCCCTTCCTGGGGGATGCTGTGCCCTGGCAGCTGAGGCATGGCTCATCCTCACCTTTGTGCTTCCCTCCTGCAGGGCTGCTTCCCACAGATCTTGGATGAAATCAGGACCAACGCAGGAGTGGCGGGTGGCGTGGCTGCCGGCATYGCTGCCTTGGAGGTGAGAGCCTGAGCACTCCCTGTGCCTGGAGGAGGGGCTGGGACCAGCCTGGGGGGCTCGGGGGGCTGCTGCAGCCCCAGGCTACTGAGCCTTTTTCCCTGGGCACATCCAACGCTGTGTTGGGAGGGAAGGGGGGAGCACATTCGAGGGGTCTGACTCGCACCTTGTCACCCCCAGATTGCAGCCATGGCGGTTTCCATGTACCTCTACTGTCGGCTGGATGAGAAGTGACCCCTCGAGGCAGGAGGATGACCTGCCACCCCCCGTGCTGGGGGGCACCCGTGGCGTGCCATGCTCTCGGGGGGACCCCGTCCCTCCCTGGGTCCGATGCTGTCCTGTGCACTGTGATTTATAGCTGTATTTTGATCTACTGAGCTGGGATCTGTAGAGTTTGTGTATATTTTTGTACTGATACGGCACATGGAGTCTGTACATAGAGATTTGGGGTGTTTTTTGATGGGGGGTGGGGTTGAGAGAAGCAGCTTGGGCCGTTTGGCTGATGCCAGGAAGCGATAAAGCAGCACAGGGCCGTTCAGGGCTGCTGATCTGGCAATGGCACAGTGATGCCTTGATAAATTCCTGTAGATTGGTGATGCACCTCTCTCAYGGTTGTCACCACTGTGTCCTCCTGYATCTGTTTAAGGCGGTAACTACGTCCTCACAGGGCCASGTATCTATTCCTGCACCCATTTTCTGCCAGTCCTGGCCCTGTTGYCATGTTGTCCCCTGAGAAAGGGTCTGGCTGATTCCTGCCCCTTCCTTCTCTGGCATGAAGACAGCCCTGCTGTACCCTGGCTGTCCCATACCCCCTGTCATTTTGTGCCTGAGCCCCTCTCCATGCTGTAAAGAAATGCAAATAAATTTTTCATCTTGGATACAAATTGTTTTCTGGAGTTGTTTCTGGTTGTGCYTTTACTAAACCCCCTCTGCTGGGGTGTGGGGGTGGGGGCTGCCTTCCCTTCCCCATCCTTGGGGGTAGCACAGCCCTGCCCTCCGTGCATGTGGCTCCTCACCTGCCTTCACCCTGCTTGTGCCATGGGGCTGGCTGGTTGTGGGGCAGAGCCCAGGGCTGTGGGGCAGGGCAGGACAGGGGCAGTGGCTGGAGGCAGCGTGCAAACAGTGTCCCCAGGCGCTGCCTGGCTCCGTGCTGGCCACAGCCCCCGTTATCGGCTCCTGCCCCAGGTACGGGGCTGTACCGAGGCACTGCCGTGCTCTGGCGTATCCTGGTGCCACCTGTCACTGGCAGGGGACAGGGAGACAAACATGGCACCACTCCCCACCCTGGGTTACTGAGCCCTGGAGACGGGATTTGGCCCTGCCCCATGGCAAGGTGTGGGGGAAGCTGCCAGAACATAGCGCTGTCCTTCCTGGACGGGTGAACTGGTCCCAGTTGCACCATAAACTGGTGTCACYTCATGGGTGACGTCAGGGCTTTTATGCCTCTTTTCACTCTCCAAACATGCAGGAGCTGCCAGGAAGCATTTCCTAGAGGTGTTATGGTGCCCAGGACCCATCTGGCACAGAGCTGGGCATTCCTGGCTGTCCCCTCTCGAGCTCCCTGTTTTTGGGATGCCTTGCAGAGCTGGCTCCTGGCACACACCCTCCCACCATCACCCCTGCGGGGTGGAGCGGTCTCAGGGGCGATGCCTGSCCAGCTGGTGGCTTCCACCTTGGCAACTCCCGGCCATGGGGTTTCCATGGGACAGAACAGGCTGTTTCTGTGGCACTGAGTTTTGTAAATAACCCTGCAGCCACTGGCTTGGTTCCTCCCCTCCACCTGCCGGGAAAACCTGAAGGACCAGTTTCTCCTTGCGGATGCGATTCCTCCCGATCGCCCTTCGCGGATCTTGGCTGCCCTGGCAGCCAAAAGCGGAGCAGGGGGGGGTAAGCGGGACTGGCACAGCCTCCCTGCCCTCCCCTGTGCCACTGCCCAAGCACTGCCACAGCCCTTGAGCTCTCCAAGGAGATCCCATTCCAGCAGCCTCAGCCCACCACCCATCCCCACTAACCCCAGATGCTGCCTCTGTAGGCACCTCTGCATCTTTTACCCCTTAGACCTGGCCAATTATCCCAGACTGGCGCTCTGGGGCAATCAGAAGCTGAGAGCACAAGGCTGAAAGGTGCCTGAGAGCTTGTGGGAACAAACAGAAACTTCCTTATTGCCTCCGGGAAGACGGCAGCAATTGGCCCGAGCACCTGGCACGTTTGGGTGAGTGCCAGAGTGGGGGTTCTTCTTTTCCACTTGGGACACAGTTGAGGGAGGACAGCAGGGCGAGGGACAATGGACAAGCAGCCAGGGCCATGATGGGAGCCCCACACAGACCACAGTTCCTGGAGAGTTGTAGGGTGCACTCTTCGCTGGCATCACTTAGCTGGGAGCACAGCAGACAAACCYCTGTGTGGTGCAGGTGTCTGCACTGGCAGAGAACGGGCAGTAATTGGAAATTTAGGAAAGGAGCCACCCCCTCCTTCCTGGGAATTGGCATCGATGGGAACGGGTGCATGAAAGGARGGAGGAGCTGCACCTCTTTGGCTTTGTGCTGATAAAGGGAGTAAACAAGAAGCAAAAGCAAACTCATCCAGCATCAGCTGCTCCTCAAGGAGTGCCCACCATGGGGAATTTCCCCTGCCTGCCATAACAACTTGGGCAGGATGCTCCCAGCTTGGGGAGGACAGGACATCCTTGAAGGGTGCAGGTCATTCCATGGGAAGGAGTGAGGCAATGCACAATTTCCCTGGCACAGACTTCCTGCATGGCTCCTCTTCTCCTCTTCCTCAGAGATAAACCATCCTGAGTGCTGGCCCAACCCCAACGGTGCTTTCTAGGCAGCTCCCTGCCCTGAWTATTTGCAGGAATATCAGAGGAGGCGATGCAAGGGCTATGCAAAAGGCAGCAGACAGGAGCTGACCTTGAACCTGGGGTGTTAATCATTAACGCCGAAYTAGGCTGGAATGGCACAATAACCATCACAGCAACAATTCTGGATACCCAGTTGAAGATTAATTCACTGCCAGCCTTAGGTGTGGGCAGAGGAGATGGCAGCCCTGTGTCCATGGGCACAGCAGGGAACAGGGACAGGGATGGGCTGGGTGCAGGGGAAGGATGTCCCTCACAGCTGGGATCAAGGGGAGAAGCCAAGTAGAGCCCCTTCCCGGGAGCAGTTTGGGCACCTTTGGCAGGTGGCAAAGCAGTTTGCCATTTATGATTTTTTTTACTGATAAATGCACTTAGCATTTATGAGTTTTTATGAAGCAGAGGGTGCTGAAAATTTGAGTTCCCAGGGCTGGGATGCAAGTGGTGGGACACAGCACCGTGATCTCTCCCACACAGGGAAGGAGATGAGGCCAGCACACCCAGCATCTTTCAGGGGCTGAGATCTCTCCATTCATGAGGATTGGGTGTGTTATCCTGGAGGACTGTGGCTGGAAGGTACTTCCCTCCATCTGTGGGGCACAGAGGAACCCATGTGCCATGGGAAAGATTAGCCTGGACGTCCTGTCCCACATACCAGCCTGTCATCAGAGCACAGGGACTTCCTGCTTCCTCAGCAGAGATCTCCAACAAAAAACCAAAATGCGTAAAAATAAACACCACCAGAAATTATGCAAAATCCCCCACCCCCCACAAGCTCTGGAAAGGTCAAGTTTCATGCCAACGCTATTTTGCTTTTGTTTAATTATCAGCCAGCTCCTGGGAGGTGGAGCAGCCTGGACAGGTTCTCCTTTGTGCGGCTGCACAAAGCTGGGGAGGCCGGGCTGGGGGGGYTGCAGGGGCTGGGTGACAACTGCAGCTCGGGCAGCACGTGCTACAAGGGCTGAGCTGGGACAGCACTACATGGCACTTCCAGGGAAGGCAGGACAGGGGCCAGCTGCCTGGCCAGCTCCTGGGCAGCTGGGAATGCTCCGGACCAGGAATGCAATTGGACCAGGAAGTGAATGAGACCCCAAAAAAGGGCAGGATGAGGAGCAACCCAGCTCATCTAACAAGTTCCCCAGGCCTGAGTCCCTTGGGTGATGAACCTTGGCATCAGCAGCAGCTGGGGGCGATGAGCCCAGGCTCTCCATCAGCCTGGCACAGGGGCTCCTTCAAGGGGTTTAACCTGCTTCCACCATCATCTCTCTGGTTCAGGAGGGGGGGCTCCTACAAACGCCAGCAGTTTGCACACCCAGGCTCCCTTAGGTGGGCACTACACAGAGAGTGTCAGACCTGAGCTCAGGCACTCAGACCCAGCAGGTGGATCCTCCCTCACSCACAGTGCCCTGGCAGAGGCTCAGYRCTGCAGGATTTGGCCTCGGCAGGAGGTGGATGTGGASGCTGCCAGGAGGCAAGAGCCCCTCTGGTGTTGCCAAGTCCCTGGGGCTGTGTAAAAATCTTCTGCTTTGGGGTTGCCCAGCCAGAAAGCTGTGCTCAGTCCTGGGGAAGGGCTGGCAGCACAGCCTGGCTGCTGGGAGCAGGCAGGGGAGCAGGAGGCAGCAGGTCTGGGCTGCAGGGAGCAGCTGGKCCATGCTGGGGGCTCACACTCTCCCACTGCCGCTTCATTTCAGTCCTGTGGTCTCTGCCCCAGAAACAGGTGCATCCCCAGCTCTCCCAGCCCCACAGAGGCAGAAATCTGGAATGGTCAAGATGGTGACAAGGTTGTAGTTCTCAGGGCACAGCAGCTGAAGGTGCCAGAAGTAAAACGGGGGCGAGTAGCCARGCAGCTCGTCAGAGTTTCCGTCAGTTGCTGAACTGAAGATAAAGGTGATAAAGCTGGAGGAGGAAACAGCTCACAAACCTGTGCCAGCCCCGCATGGCACCACACAGAGGACCTCTGCTGGCACACACCAGGGGCACTGTAAGCCCGTGACCAGGCCTGCACTGCACTGGGCAGAGAGAGATACCGAAGGACAGGACCCCAGAGCCAGGGAGCCCGACCCTACACAAGGCTAGCCATRAAACACACGAGGCTCAACAGCTTTGCAATGTTTACTCTTGAAAAAATAATTCAATTCAGAAAGCATCAAACCCTGGTGATGCCACACTCCCAGCCCTGCCATGGCTGCTGCCCCGGAGCCTTGCTGGGGGCACGGGGAGGGACAAAGAGCAGCATCCCACGGGCCTGGCGTGGTGTGAAAGAGGAACTTSAAGCCCACCAGTCAAATCCTGCTGTCACTGAGAGCAGGGAGCCATGGACAGCTGAGCACTGTAGGGCTGGCAGGGGAGAAGAGGGAACTCATGTTCAGCCATCTCTTGTCCCTAGGACCACCTTCCCCAGCCCCCAAGGAAGCCGAGAAGGGAAAGAAGATGCATTTATTTTCAAGGGGAAGAGAAAGCGAGCCTTGAGAACAGGACAGAGGTGCCAAAGAAAGGGCAGTGGAGAGCCACGGAAGTTTTTCCAAAGCAGGGTGTGAGGAGTGAGCTTCCTTTTCTCAGAAAGCCAAGTCCCTTTTCCATCCTCTTAAAAGACCTGCTTTACCCTGAGGGCCAGCACAGGGGTCATCTGCCCACTGGCTACCAGAGCAGAGTCCCACTGAGGGCAGGGCTGAACCCAGATTGGTACTGCAGCCTCAAGGTATCAGCCTGTGTGCTCTTGTTGCCCTCCTGCATCCATCCTATCCCATYCCATCCTATCCCTGCTGCTGGGGCAGGCATGCAAGGGGCTGTCAGAGTCCCTGCAATCATGCTAGAGCTTTGCTGTATCCACACTGGGATCACCTTGGCCAAAGAGGAGAGTTSACAAGTTCTCATTCCTATTCTGGGCAAGGAAGGAAAGCAGGGAACGGGGTGGGGCCAGGGGGACGAGACAAACCTCCCATGATTGCCCCTGCACAGGCTGGAGGCTGCCAGCTCTCCACGCTGCTTCCTGGTATCTGCCCCTTCCCAGAAGCAATAAATAAATAAGT